GCACGCATACACGTGGCGCATTGGGAGGGGCTTTTTCCAAATTGGGAAGGCCCTGTCTGTGATGCCTTTGACGAGTCTGCGCTCATTCACTAGTGGGGTTGAGGAAAGGAAATCCGACGTGTCAGAGCTCGCCTCGCCTGAAGCCTTCGTCTCAAAGGACTTCAGCGGCAGCGTTGCTGAGCTCAGGCCACATTATTGTGAATGCTCGGACCTGCCGATGGGTGGGTGTCTGCCCACATCTGCTCCGGCGCAAGTTGAGGAAAGGCTCGGAAGCCCACACTGAAGACACGCGCGCCCGAGATGTCGTCATGCCAGACGGAGCGTTGAAAAGAGGTTCGCCGTTTTCTGCGGCCAGTGAATCCCGGATGGTGGTGTTTGTTTGGGCAAGGTCCGCGTTAAAGAGCCGAACAGTGGTGTCGGTTTGGGCAAGGGCCACTGCGCAGTGAAGGCCAAACCACTGGGAGAGTAGCTGCCAGGCCAATAGAACCTGCCCTTATTGTTGGAGGTGAAAAAGCTGGAGAGATGGCGTGGCCTTGCAGAACACATTGCCAAAGTTGTTGCGTCAGGTCAAACAGACCTCCGCGAGCTCCGGGCAGGCAAGGGGGATTATGGTGTCGAGAAGCTGTGTGTGTGTGCGCCCGGACGAATGCTCCGACAATTGGCTTGGAAGCGGCCCACTGCTTTTGCCTCTGAGGAAGGATGTAGGCCTACTAGTGCAATTGCGCGGGTCTGCCAGGGCCTCAGACCACTTATGGATGACGGGAAGCTGAAAGAGACACGGGTTTTCGCTTGTACATCCTTGGGAGGAGATTATGAATACCTTTGTCAGCCCAGGTGGCTGGAGTGTCTCTGTGTTGGCGCCACCCGCACTACCATCCAAGCGTGGGACCACTGCACACGCCGTTCGATGGTGGGAGCACCACGACAACTTCTTCCAGCTTTTCAGCGCAACCGAAGTCTGCACCAACGTGTGCCACAGGACCTTTTCGCCGCCAGTTGCACTTCGACGTGCTTTCACCACAAGACGCTTGACTACCCGTCTTGACACTGGAAAACTTCTGGGTGATCTTGGCAAACCCTCTCCGACGTTTCGACGCAATCCGGTTCCTTGCTGTCCACTTGCCTGAGCTCCCTAGACGGAGCTGCGTCTCCGGAGACCTTCCGCTTTCGCGGATTGACCACCAGGCTCCTCCCGACCCCTGATGACTCCTTTTCTCGCCCGTCCGCCATTTTGATCTTTCAGCTTTCTACGTACGCCGGACTTCCTTTTCATGTCGCACGACTGTGCGTGGTGTTCCGCTCACAACAAACAAATACCAGCCTCTGGAGCACAGGACACGTGCGTTGCACATGTCAACCCTTCCGCGCCTCTTAACAGCCACATTCTCCGCGCCTCACACGACCGGCCCTTATTCCAGCTCGACCTCCTTTCTGGCTCTACCAACAAGTCTTTCTTTCCACCGCATCAATGCCAGCAAGTCGTCACGCTGAGGATCATGCTTCCTCTCAGCCACAACAGAAAATGGAGTGACTTGGCCTGTAAGTGTGTGAGCGAAGAGAAACATCAACGAGCTGGGGTGGGCGACAGACATGGAGGATGGCTGATGCACCCAGCTTGGCGATGGAGGGCACTGTTGCGTGGGGTGTCCCACTTGGCACGCTCAGTGGTCCAGCCGCCCAGCAAGGACGAGCGCGCGCCATATTTCTTGGGGTCGCTGGCCGTTTGAGCAAATGGGCGTGAAGAATGGCTATGGCCGTGAAATCGCAGCAGCGCGAAATGGCCGTGAAAAAGCAGTGGCCGTGAAAAAAGGCAATGGCCGTGAAAAGCGGCTTTTCGTGGTCCTGAGCAGAATGACCCCATGAAAAGTGGTTAAATGGTTGTTGAGGAGGGGGGTATTGTTGTCGGCGCATTTCCTGGAGTTGCTCAAACATGAAGCTGGACCTGTGGCGGGCACAAGACTGAGAAGGTAGTTGAGGAGCTTAGCGGTTCAGGTCTTCATGGCCACTGCTCGGAAGGCCACATGCAACGCAATCCTATCAAGATCGATGTGGCGTTGTCGGACTTGGGAGAGAAGACGGACTCCGCCACCATCCGAATTTCGCCGCCATGGGCCACATGTCGCAGTCACTGCTTGCGCATGAAAAGGACAAGGGGCAACTTGCCGGACGTCGCATATCGAGTGCGAGTGACGCACCTGGGAAGGTCACACCCAGCGATCTTGTTTGAGCCGGAAGTGTGACGGGAAAGGGTGTGGGGCTGGAGGCTGAGCCTTGAAGCCGTATTGGCCAGGTGTGGCTGTCGAAGGTGATTGTCCATGTAGTAATAGAGCAACCCGGCTTCGTCGTCTGCCAGGATTGCTGACTTGGTAACTGGCGTTGGACACAGGGCCGAGGACCAGGAAACCAAGCTTGCTGAACAATCCAAATCAAGGAAGCAAAGAAGAGGCAAAGCCGACAAACAAATACCAAGCAACACTTTTTTCACGCTCGGCGAGCCGGCGCAGGCCTACACCTCCCGCTTGGTTTGCACCAACCTTGGTGTGGCTCGTGACACTCGGCCCCTCACTGGCCTCCATGACTGGAGCTTCTGCGCCGGCTGTCAGCGATCCGGAGCGGGTCCTGCTTTCGTGGAGACCCCGCCTTCGATGAGGAGCATGTCGACACTGCGCCCAGGTCTTCCTTCTCCCCGCGCCGTTGCTTCTGGCGAAACTTTGGATCAGAGAAGGCGTTGGCCGGCATGCGTTTGAGAGGGACATGGTTTTGGCCACTGCCACGGCCGCTCGCTGGAGTCTTGGGCAGCTCCGTTGACTTAGAAGCTGGTCAAGTCGTCGTGCTGTGAGTTGGCTTGGAAGCTTCCCCGGCCCCCAACAATGGGACACCTGAAAAAAGATGCAATTCAATTTGGCTTCCATTGAGTTTCCATTCAGATTGGGATCTAGATCTCCGTTTGATTTAGTATTGCTGGAGCTTCCTTGTGATATTTGATTTTTGGGGGGAGGGGGGCAGGCAACAAGACCTTATTTCAAGGGAACTTGAAGTTTTAAACGAGACACATAAAAGAAAAATGGGCTCGGAAAGGTGACCGTTTTGGATTCCAGGAGCTGGCCCAAATCTAACAAAAAACCTTAAGCATCGCCAGGGCTGTCTAGGTACTTAACTAGCTAAGAAGATGTTATTTTCTTTCGGGGCCAGAAGACTGTGTTCTAGGGGCCCCTGAAATAATTCCAACCGGGAGGCCCCCTTTGCGGTTTTGATTGCGGACAGTTTTTAAACAAGAGACATGTAACAAAACATGAGTTTGGGAAATCTGGGCAAGCTGGAATTCTTGGATGTGGGGGAGCTGAAAAAAAGCGGTGCAAAAAGTCCAAGAGCCAGGTCTTGGCTTGGCTACCTCTCTTCTCCTATCTCTCCTTCGTCTCTCCCGCCTTTTTTGGGCCACTGTTTTTCAATTTGTTCCAAGCGCAAGTACTATTTTTGGGGTTGTCTTTATTATTCCAGGCGCATTCTTGGTCATTACCAATCCTTTGGCGACGAGAGGCGGAACCCCGACAGCCTTGGCCCTCTTTCCCCGCAGCTTCACCATTGGGAAGAGACAGCTCGGAGCCATCATCTTTGACCGTTTGGCGAGATCCTTGCGCCTGCGGTGACGATCGGGAGTGTTGCCGGCGGTCATGTCTCTGATCGTGGTCGAGGGAGATCGGCGGCGGCGGCGATGCTGCTTCTGATCGCGCTTTTGGCGACCTAACGAGTCACCGACGGCAGCAGGAGGCCAGATGCCAAAGTTCATATGCAGTCAGGGGTTGAACTGGCCTGAGTTAATTGAACTTTGCCCCTTTGGGTTCTTTCCCTACGTCAGCAGCTTTATGGCCTGCTTCAGATCTTGTTGCAGGGCCTCGAACTTGTCCGACACAGTGGATTCAGTAAATCTTGAACTCTCAGTCAGGCGTTGTGGGCTGACAGCCCTCGCGCGTGCGGGCACCAGCTCAAGATGGCTTCGGATGAGCTGACCACTTTGAACTTGAACCTGAAGGTCTTCCCCTCGCAGGGGGCTTCCGCGTATGGCCACTTAAAGATCGAGGCTTGCCCGAAGTGAATTCACATGCGAAAGCCAGGTCGCAAAATAACCCCGCATCATCCCAACGCGCAAGAAACCACGGAAAACAAAATCCACACAGACACACAAACACGCACACGAGCACGCACTCACACACGCCATGCACATGCGCACGCGCAAGAAGCCACACGCAAACGCGCAAGCACGCACACGCGCACGCAGGCGCACGCACGCGCACGCAAACACAACCACAGAGACACACGGACGCACACCCAAACAGCACACACGCGCATCACGTGTGGCTTTGGTTTTGCGACAAGGCTGCTTGCTCCCTCCACATAAAAGCCCTTCGCCACAACAGAACGCTCGCGCCTGAGGCTCTGGCGCCGCACGCGTGGCACGAAAGGCGCCGCTAGCTCACGCATGTCCTGGAGCGCGCTTGCTTCAGGGTGTCGGACCCAAAAGTTGGCCGGCGCTTTCCGAAAAAGGTTGCTTGCCAGAGGCCACTTGGTGCAGAACGCACCACTCACAAAGGCTGGTGTTGGAGAGCCTGGCGCGTAGAAGGTCCAGTCATGTCACAAGGGGCACTCGGCCCCCGAAATCTTGGCGATGCGGCGGCACAGCAAGATGCGCACGTGTGGGCAAACATGTGATCCAAGGTACTTCAGTACGTCTGATTCCCTTTCCCAGTGTGAAACACAGAAAGGAAATTTCACGACAAGTGGGCGCCTTGTGAACTCTCAGCCATCTGCGCAGGAGCAAGGTCGAGGTTTCTACGCTAGGGAGTTACCACTTTCAGGTTTGTTGAAAAATGAAAACACTGGAAACTTTTTTCCGGGGCCCCCCAGTCTTGAAACACACCCGCATGAAATACCGCAACCTGTCAAGCGCAAGGCCCTCGCTCCAGCGATGACCAGGAGAAATGATGGGAGCAGCCTGGACAGTCCTGCATGCAAGCGCCGAGCGCTGACGTTCTACCTCAACATAGGTCATCTACTGGAACACGCTTGCCCGGCATGGCAAATTTGGAGGCATGCATCCATGGGTGCACATCTGACTTCTGGATGGAACCATAACTGTGGCTTCTGCGTGGATCTAAGAATTGCTGCGACAATGCGAAGGTTTAAGTTTTCCTCAGGAGGAACGCTGGACCAACAACACCTGGCCCAAAGGCAATCCCACAGTTCAAGGAAAAACTCGAACGCGTTGGACGTTGAACGCGTGTTGAGACATGTTGGATCCGGGCTAATATCCTGGGATTGCAAAAACACTTTCCTACATTTGTCAGGCACGCGGGATCTGGAGTTCGCATCGTATGTGTTGACCGCCCTTTTGTGGTTTCAAGAGTGAGTATAGAGTTCAGGGAAGCGTTGGTGTGGGAGCTGGGTTTTAGGGCGGGCTTAGGGTGGGTTTATGGTTAAGTGGTGGTGGGTTTGCCCAGCCATTACCCTCGCGCAGCCGACTTTCACTCGCTGACCTGCCACGGCCCTTCCATGCGCTGAACCTGCTTGGCACCGACGACTGCGGAGGACACGCTTCAAGGCTAAGCACTTGCTTAGGCCAATCAAGCACGGGTACATGTGCCATCAACCCTTGCGATTTGCTTCAGCCCAACATGTTCTGCAATCGCACCACTCCTGGAACCCTGAGATGTCAAAATGGCAATGTTTTGCTGGGTGGTCAATGCATAGCATGCTGCAAGGCAAAGGCAACAGCAAGGACAACAGTGGCAACAAGGAAATCCACGCCCAAGCCGAAGCTGCCCCTACCAGCGATGCAGGCCCGGTATTTCCTGCACTGCCAACAAGGGTGGCAAACCAGTGCCAGCAGCCGAAGTTGTTCCAGGCCCATATGTCAGCCATGCAAATAGGTTCGAAAATTATCCTACCACCAGTTCTCCGAGCTCCAAAATCGACACAGGCGAAGGCCCAAGTAATGAAATTCACAGATGTGCTGGAACGGCTCGACTACAAATGGCTCAAGTTCACAGCAGCCATGCGGGAGCGGTTCCGGCCAAGAACCGACCGAACGGACCACTGCCCTGCAATCTGCGCAGCGCGAAGAGATGGAGGAAGCAGACAAGAAAACCTGGATCAGATTCCGAAGTGAAAGAAAGCAAGGTTGTGACCGGCATGCCCGAATTTTCAACCCACCACCTGCACTCAGTGCCACAAAGCACCATGCGCCCTCCCAGGACCTCATCCAACACCAACCTCGCCATAGGACACCATTCCAGCCAAGGAAGCCCCGATGGAGCGTGAGCAGAAACAACAGCTCGTACCTTTTTGTGGAAGATCTAATCCAGCCTCACGCAGTAATGGACTAAGTGCACAGTAAGCAGCGCGCCACAGGCAGGTTCGGTTCTGTCCGCTCACAGTCAGTTATTCTTAGCAACGCGTTACTGAAGAGCTGACTTACAGCTCCACTCCACTGACATCTTTTAAGTCTAGTTTTAAGCGCGGTTACTTTGACCTGAGTTGGCGCGCCGCGAGATAGCACAGCATCGCAGCACTTTGCTCAAAGCCCTGCCATGTTTTTCAAAATCCCAAAGAGCCCAAGAGCAGACCGTCAGCAGAACAAGCCTCCCAGCAGGAACGAAGCCGCAGCAGCAACAGCAACCTGGGAGCAGCGCCTAGACGAGAACGGGTGCTGGTTCTGATGGCCACGACATTTAAGCAGAGGCAGGTCCACTGCTTCAGCTTTAGCTATAATGGTAGAGGATTTGGGTTGTGGCCTAGACCCCCAAATTTCAGACCGTGACAGGTCCACGGCTTCAGCTTGAGCGATGGTAAAACAGAAGCCGTGGGCGAAGATGGCAACCCCAAACAAGGGTAGCCAGGGCCCAGCGCCAAGAAGCACAAGCCCGCAGCTTCGGTGTGGGCCCGCCCAGCGCAAGGCGCTGACTTTACGATGACGCTTGCAAAACACCAGCGCTTTTTTTAGCTGAGGAGGCGGCCATCCCGGGATCAGTCTGTTGTGGGGCATTTCACTGCCACCCTGCCGGCTGTTGCGCGCCGGGCAGCTGCAACTTGATAAGTGCCACAGCCCTGATAAGCTTGGAACAGCGGAGCTGAGTGTTGTGTGAATCATGGCCACCCAACATCCACCGACCATGGGATTCTGCATGGTTGAACTGTGTGGATGCGTGGTTGAAGTCAAGATGAGGCGACCGGACGCTAGAATTCTGCAACACGCCTGAAGTGCGCATTCGCTCAATCAAGCTGTCTTTGATGCCCTCCCTGCCCTGGACTAGAACGAAGCCACTGTGGATATCCGACCCACCTTTGCAGCTGCCTTCTGACGTTCAACTTCCATGGTGATAGAAGAGCTGAGGTCCGGTCATTAACAAGTCCTCATGAGTTGGCGGTCATCGATAGATTTAGTGTCTCCTCAGTGCTGCTGATAGGGTGGCCAGCACTGTGTAAGCTTCCGTGGACATGGTGGTGATTCTTGCTGACAAAAGCTGCTACCTGCCACAATTGCGTTCCGTGCTGGGGGCACCTGATCCCTAACAAGGAGACACCCACTGTAGCACACAGCAGCCTCTATGCCCTGGATCTGTTTTTCAGTGAGAATCTGATGAGCCTGGTCAATTGAATGAAAGCGCGTCATACGTCTATTGACAGAAAAAGAGCTTCAAATATGTGTGAGTGATACCGTTGATTGCCTAAAGGCCAATGGTCGGCAAAACATGGGGGGGGGGGGGAAAATGGTAAAAGTAGGGGGCCTGGGGGGTGGTCTGTTGATGGTCCCCTGTTATGTTTTTTATATTCATCTCAAACCTATTAACCACCTTATTCGTTGTTAAAAGAGGGTTTTTAGGGAGCTTATATATCGTTTTCGTTAAGGTAATCATTTGGGTAAATCGTCGCCTTGTTCATTGTTGGGCTGGGGGCCGACATTGATTCATTTGAAAGGGTTGGCCCTTTTAGTAGTTATCAAGTTCTGGGGTGTTGGTGGTGTATTTGTTTTCATGACGAGAGATTGGGTAGGAGTAGGTCGACCTTTATTCGGTCGTTGCCACACCTGCTACGACTTCTATGTCATCATCAGCTTTATGTCGGGACACTCAGATTTGGAGCGATTGCTTTCGTTGCTTGGTCGGTTTGCAATTGACAACTCGCTTAAGCAGTCTTCCGAAATGTGTTTGATTTATTGATAGTCATTTTAGTCAGACAGTTTGACCAGTGCCTTTGCCTGAACCATACTCAGCCATGGCACCGAAGAAGATGCTCCTGACTGACTTGGTCAGACAGATGGGTGGTTATGTCAATTCGGACATGGAGCAACCTGCCCACGGCAACGCAACCGATGAGCAGACCACTGTGGATGAGACCATTGCAGAGATGCTTCAGACTGATGAGAACGAAGCGGCGGAGAGTGAGAAAAGCGATGACACTATGAATGAGGATGAGCAGGGAGAAGAAGAAGAGGAGACCGCTGATGAGGAAGCGCTCTTTCTCACACCTGAGATGGTTCAGGAAATCGCCAACAAGCAGGGTTTCGGGGACATGGCAAACGACCTCGTTCAGACCTTGCTGACCACTCCCGCCCAAATGGACACCGTCCTTCAGAACATCAAGGACATCCTCGCGCTGGAGTCCAAGAAGGAGAAGTTGGTGAAGTCTGCGAAGGCAAGGTTGGAGAAGATTTACCGAGACCATCGCAAGAGCCACGCACCGAAGGGCGAGTCCATCAAGTCCATCAACCGTAGTAACACCTACAACATTGAGGTTCGCTTTGGTGAGCACGTCATCCACCTGAACCTGATGGGTAAGCACACCTTCAAGGCTTTGCGAGAGCGTCTCCGCCTTCTCAACCCGGCTTTGTTCAGCAACGACTCCGACTTGAAGAAGAAACTTGAGTTCTATGTGGTAGGCAAGGAGAACCTCGGGCACATGGGTGAGACTTTCTAAGACTTGTCATCCTTGGCGACCACGTCTTCTTTTGGTGAAAGAGCACCACTGGAAGAAGTCTTGACAGCGTCCTTCTCCCCTTGGGATTGACGGAACAACTCACAGGCAGGCAAGAGGTCATTCATCTTGATGAAGGACAGAAGCAATTCATTATCCTTCTTCATCTTTCTAGTCCAATGAGCGTCGCCCCGAGGAGCATTCGGTCGAACGAGCAACGGGCGGGACAACGCCATCAGAAGGACTTGTCAGCAAAATGGCTCATGGATGGATGCATTCAAACATCAAATGGTCAAGAACAACAGTTGTAAGGAGTAGTCAATCTCACGACTCAAGTCATGTCAAAGGCAAGTCTGAGAATGGTTTTTCTCTGTGGCACTTTGCTCGTGGGTATGCGATGGTCTACAACTGACAGAAGAACTATCCAAATGGCAAAGGGATTGCAAACTCCATTGGTATGCTCTCTCCATCAAGTGCAAACCGACAAAACTTGACACCGCTCAGTGACTTGATGCTCACTGTGTGGATGAGGATGCCCCACTCGCTGATGACGATGCCTTTGCCTTTGCCTTCGCCTTGGACTTGGTCTTCGCCCCTGCCGCCTTGGACTTGGCTTTCGCCTTGGCAACCGTGTTTGTTCCTGCTGATGTTGTACCTGTCGTGGTAGAAGAGGAAGCTGTCCCGTCCGTCGTGCCCTGCGTCTTACGCCTGATGTTGATGACGAGGGTTTGCCCACTTGTAGCACCCCACGCCACCATCTCCCGACGAGAGTTTCCCCCAATGGTGGGGACGGGGATGATGAACCTTCCGATGGAGACAGTTCCAGCGACGGCCAGGGCGAAGAGCCGGACATGTCCCTCGTGGTGATGGTAGACAACGAGGTCTACAAGATGAAGGACGACAATGAGGTGTTGGTCTGCCTGAAGTTCATGATGATGGCACGCCTCAACATTCCTTGGCATGACATCAGCTTGGACTATGTGGACACTGAGGACACCTTTACCGACATGGATGACACGTTTTTCGTGGGTGG